TGGTCCTTTGGATTTTCTAACTGTAGAAGATCTTCCAACATGTGAACATTGCCTTCAGGGTAAGATGACGAAACAACCATTTAACGGTAAGCCTGAAAGATGTACAGACACGCTTGACCTTATACATACTAATGTATGTGGTCCAATGAGTGTTAGAACACGTTACCAGCATGTTTATTTCATAACATTTACTAATGATTACTCACAGTATGGTTACGTGTACCTAATGAGACACAAGTCTGAATCCTTTGAAAAGTTCAGAGAGTTCAGACAAGAGGTCGAGAAACAGTTAGGGAGAGAAWTTAAGACCCTTMRATCRGATYGAGGTGSCGAGTATCTCTCTAACGAATTCAGGGACTACTTAAAGGACAATGAGATTGTATCACGATTAGCTCATCCTGCTACACCACAACTAAACAGTGTGTCAGAGAGGAGAAACTAGACTTTATTGGATATGGTCCGATCACTTCTCATACAATCAGAATTACCCACATCCTTTTGGGGTTACGCATTAGAGACTACGATATAGGTGCTGAATCGAGTTCCAACCAAATCAGTTCCGAAGATTCCCTATGAGCTTTGGACCGGTAAAAAACCAAGTGTAAGACACTTGAAGATTTGGGGTTGTCCGACACATGTTAAAAGAACAGGTGCTAACAAATTGGAATCCAAGACCAGCCGTTGCTGCCTATTCATAGGCTACCCCAAAGGCTCTGTGGGTTACTTATTCTTTGACTCAGGAGAACAGAAGGTGTTCTATAGTCGAAATGCCCATTTCTTGGAAGATGATTACATCCTGAACAATCATCGTCAAGAAATTGTTCTTGATGAGGAGAGCTCAGGGGTAGTGGGAGATGTCTCACAAGCTACAGTAAATGACCAATGTAGAAGATCTACCCAGGTTTACAGGCCTCCAATTCATTTCGGCTATGATCAGGACAGTTACTTGGTGGAAGCCACGACCATTGACGAGGATCTCGTGACTTATACAGAAGCTATGTTGGACATAGACTCCTTGAAGTGGGTAGATGTCATGAGAGCTGAGATGGACTCAATGGAGACCAATGGAGTATGGACTCTAGTAGATTTGCCCCCTGGGGTAAAAGCAATTGGTTGCAAATGGATCTATAAGAGGAAAAAGGGCCTTGATAGTAAGGTTGAGACCTACAAAGATCGTCTTGTAGCAAAAGGGTACATTCAGAAAGAAGGAATCGATTATGAGGAAACCTTTTCATCGATAGCCATGCTTAAATCCATTAGGATCTTGCTAATTGTAGCAGWGTACCATGATTACGAGATTTGGCAAATGGATGTCAAAACTGCGTTCCTGAATGGAGATCTTATTGAAGATATCTATATGCAGCAACCACAAGGTTTCATAGTTACGGGTCAGGAACACATGGTATGTAAACTAAATCGATCCATATATGGACTTAAGCAAGTTTCTAGGAGTTGGAACATCTGGTTTGACTCTACCGTCAAACAGTTTGACTTTGAGCAAAATTCGGATGAGCCTTGTGTATACAATAAATCCAGTGGGGATGAGGTTACGTTCCTGATTCTGTATGTAGATGACATTCTATTCATTGGGAATGATGTAGGAATGTTGACTACGGTGAAAGTATGGTTTTCAYAGCAATTCTCMATGAAAGATCTTGGAGAAGCCTCCTACATACTAGGTCTTCGACTCTATAGAGATAAATCGAAGAGGATAATAGGATTATCCCAATCTGCTTACATTGACAAAATAGTCAAGAGATATAGCATGGATAACTCAATGAAAGGAAATGTTCCTTTCAGGCATGGAGTCACTCTCTCCAAGCGTATGTCTCCCAAGACTCCCGAAGAGATTGAGGGCATGAAGGACGTTCCCTATGCYTCAGCCGTAGGGAGCATCATGTATGCCATGCTATGTAGTCGTCCTGACATTTCTTAGGCAGTGAATGTGGTAAGAAGATTCAGTCAAACCCAGGGCAGGAGCATTGGACTGCTATGAAAAACATATTAAAATACCTTCGAAAGACAAAAGAGTTTTGTCTGGTATTCAATGGTAGTTCATTACAGATCCAGGGGTATACTGATACCGACTAGCAATCAGATTCATATGGTAGAATGTCTACATTTGGTTATATCTTCATGATATGATCGTGTGTTGTTTGCTGGAAAGTCAGCAAACAGGGGTCCTAAGTAGTAAGAATAATAGTCCACAACCCAAGCTGAACACATTGCTGTAAATGAGGYTGCCTAATGAATAAAGGTGTTCATTCTGGAATTTGGAATTCAACACATCACCCATTCCACTACTGTGTGACAACACTGGATCTACGGGAGATTAATGTTAAAAGGTAGCATAAGCGGAAATGTGGCAGACCCATTGACTAAGCCACTAACACAGAAAGTGTTTGAGAAACA